TAGAGCTAAATATAGATGTTTCCTAATGATATCCTAATGGTAACATATACAGGGTGAAAAGCAATGGTCCTAGTACTGAGCCTTGCAGTACTCCAAACTGAAATTGATAATCAGATTAATATGTTTTGAACCATGTTTTATTTTTAAGAGTTTTTTTTTTGTTAACACTGGAGCTCTATGTCTGTGTGAGGTACCATTAAGAGCTGATTGTATTGTGTGTCCTATAACAGCGCTCTGCACAGACAGCAGTGGAGGACAGTGAGAGGATCTTCACTGATCTCATTCGCTCCATTGAGAAACGTCGCACTGAGGTGAAGCAGCTGATCAGAGATCAGGAACAAGCTGCAGTGAAACAAGCTGAACAAAGACTGGCGCGACTGGAGCTGGAGCTTGATGATCTGAGGTGGAAAGGGACTGAACTGAAACAGCTTTCAAACACAGATGATCATATTCATTTCCTCCAGGTAACAGAGATCTTCCTAAAGGGTTAGTTCACCCAAAAATGAAAATTAGCCTGTGTTTTTGTCTTTGTGTCTATAGAGTTGCCCGTCTGTCTCTCTCTCTGGATCTACAGACAGCTTCACTGTCAGTTCTCGTCCCAATTTTGATGAGGTAGTGAAGTCTGTCTCTCAGCTCAGAAATAAACTGCAGCAGTTCTGCACAGATGAAATAGAAAGGTTATCTAAAACAGGTAATGCTGTTTTCCTCTCAGAAAAGAGTTGAGCACTGTTCATTAAATATAAAATGGTAGTACCTTAATTCTTGACTTGGGAATTAAAGGGTTTGCACTGATGCACAAATGTTCTTTGGTGTTAATAGTGAAAACCGTCCAGGTCATTGTCCCGAGTCATCAGCTTACGACTAGGAAGGAGTTCCTACAATGTGAGTTACAATGAAAATACACACAAACACTTGTGATCACTGGGGGACTTTCTGTGCTAATTGATGATGATCTTACCCGGGGTTCATTCCAGTAACACTCATGATGGAGGAGGTGCCTATGTTGCATAGCATGTTTGTGAATTTGGGGGTGGAGTTATTAAAATAAGGACGTGATTCTTTGGTAGGGGTGTGTTTGTTTTGATGATTTCAAATATCAACAGTGTTTTTTATAAATCACTTACTGCACCTTAAGTGCATTCAACATCATGTGCCGCTATGCAGACCGATCGACTTGAAGTAGTGCATGCTGGTTAGAAAATTTGTCCAACTTGAGACGTGCCGATGCCATGTCACTGTGTGTGATGTATTCCATAAAAGTACCGCAAGAGTGATTCAAGGTGTGTATTCCAACCTGATCTCATGGGAAGGTGGCTTATTCATACAAATTCGTACAAATTGATTTGCATATCATATGTGCCACTCTCATCAGTGTGGCATTCGCAAACAGTATATTGCTTGTCTCATATTTGGAATTTCATTTTACCCCTAAATGAATAACATAAGCTAGCTTTGATGTGAAATGCTCTTATTTGTCCCATGACAGAGTTCGGATTTATCTTTTGAATGAGATTTGACTGTGTTCATGGAGTAGAATTAAAATCAGCAGACAATATTTTGCATAGATCTGTACAGTAATGTTAGTTTTTCATAAATTTGCAAGATGAATAACATTTTTTTTCACGTAAAATAAGGAAATCAGTGGGCTAATTAATCAATCACTTCAGTCAGAGTCAGAGAGACATGCCCAATTATAATTATTATGAAATGATGATACTAATGAAGAGACCCATTAATATGTTATATTATTGATGTAAAGTCACGAGTAATTATGTATTTATCTCCATCAGATTCCCGTCTGTTGACTCTGGATCTGAACTCAGTGAATTATTGGCTCCGTCTGCTTGAAGAAAACACAGTGATCACTTACTCTGACACACGTCTGCCGTATCCTGATCATCCAGACCGATTTGATTCTTGGACCATGGCACTGTGTAGGGAGAGTGTGACTGGACGATGTTACTGGGAGGTGGAGTGGGCTGGTGATGGGGGATCAGGAGTAGATATAGGAGTGACATATAAGAGCATCAGCAGGAAGGGAAATGGTCCTGAGAGTGCAGTTGGACGTAACAATCAGTCCTGGAGTTTGTTCTGCTCTCCAGACTACTGCTCATTCTGGCACAGTAACATAGAGACTAAACTTTCTGCAGTGTCCAGCAGTAGAATAGGAGTGTATGTAGATCACAAAGCAGGGATTTTGTCCTTCTACAGTGTCTCTGACACAATGAGTCTCATCCACAGAGTCCAGACCACATTCACTCAGCCACTCTATGCTGTGTTTGGGTTTGATAGACAGACAGCGGTGAAACTGTCTAGACGATTAAACAATCCAGATGTTTTACATATTCTTAATCCAGATATTCTACAGGCTTTTTTACTTCACAGAATGATGATGTCATGAGGCGTATTTTCCACTACTGAATGAGCTAGATATTTTCAAAGGGTTTTCAAACTTCTGTATGTCAAAAGCTTTATATTTTCCTGCATGTTCATAATACAAGTCTGTCATTTCTCTTTTGCTGACTCAGTTTGTTTAAAAGAAATTGTTTAGTTTCTGCATTAGCCTACTGGAACATTGTGTGCATAGTTTTTTTCTGACCACAGTTAAAGACATCTCTAACATCTCGTCCAACAGGATTTGTCGTTTTCTGAAAGCTCAATGCTTCTGCTACTTTTAGATCATCAGACTTTTCAGGCTGTTTTTTGTGCACTATTATCTCTCATATACTGTAGAAAAAATAATTTGGCATATGTACACATTTAAAATGGTATCTTCTGATAGGATTTATTGTAATATTGTATTGTATTTTTTTGATGATGATGATGCATCAACCATTAAATGATTAATTTTTATCCTTCAGTTCTGCTGACTCTGTACACACTACACAACGGATCAGCGACAGGGGCTCACAAATTACACAACTTTTCAACAGGAAGAATCACTTACAACTCTGCATTGTCCACAAATGATGTTTTATTAACAAAGTTTAGGAGGAGCACATTCAGATAATCAACCAATTCAACAAAGGTGAAGCATGTTCAGATAAGCAACTTAATTAGTAAATATATACAGCAACAAACCTCTGTCCCATGACAGATTTTCCGGCATCCCTCCTCCACCCCAACTCCTGACTCCTAACTATTCCTATCCCAGCTTGGGGATTTGGGGGAGTTCTCTGGGTTCGGCCTAAATTTGGAGCTCGGAGTCCTCCCCTTGGACAGCATGCCAAATATGCTTACTATTTGGTCAATCTGATTATATGTGAGTGCAAATTCATGAAACTATATTTCACAACCAAACACACCCGAAAATGATGTGGGGAATAACATGCGTGAGAATGGATTTATTCCTGTCAAAAACAGTAGCCCACAAAAAGCTTGGAATCCAAGTTGTCTGTACACTGACTAGCAGTGACAAAAACAGAGGAATATGAAGGAGAGAATGGCTGATTGACGATGTTCTGTTGCAGGTCTATTATGACTCCTCCCCCTGAACTTTCCCTTGCCCTCTATCTTGCTCTCTCATTGGCTGTGGGTCGTTGCTGGCTGTACAGTAGGTCGTTGTCGATGCCATTTCCAGTCTAAACACATTACACACTGCAGGACTGTGAATCCCCGATGAGTCCATATATTTAGCATGCCAAATATCTCATGGGTATCTGCGATGTGTGGGTGCTTCTGTCAGATCACGTCTTTGATAACAGAAACTGTGCGATTGTCACTCGCGTAAACAAGCACAGATTTGTCGACGCTGACGGCCTTGAGGTAATTGTGACCCATGTTTGATTCCTGACTTGTGGTCCATTGCTGATCCTGCTTCCCACTCTATGTCATATGCTTTTCTGTCATATCTCCACTGTCATACCAACAATAAAGGCATAAAAGCTCTGAAAATATAATTTAAAAAAAACAATAAAAAAAAATATAGACTTGTCTCCAATTTCGGGCATTTGTCTGCGATTTCCACAAAACTGTCTGTGAGTGAAAATCGGGTCTAAAATCATGCTGTGCGAACCTGGCATTAATCTCATAAAAGCAGCAAGTTGCAAATAAGCCACTTCTTGTCAGAAGCCAATAGCAATCGTTAACACAAAGGTTTAGGCCGCACCCCTGAGTGGCGAAACTGACTCTTGGCTTGTGCATGAAGAATTTCAGCTCCTGCATCTGTTCTGATCTCTGCGCACGTGCAGAACTCGTGCTTGTGGTCAGTTCTGTGTGTGCTTGACCTGTCAGGACTCGCTGCTTTGTTGTACATTTTACATGCAATCTTTGTCACTGTGCTCACACTGCTGTAATTTACTTGTGCGCTGTGTTCATTTTGTCCATCACCCTGTTCTAGCTTCTACTATCTTGAAGGAATCCCTTGCTGTATTCCTCAAGTGCAAGCTGCATTAGAGGTATCTGCCAAATGAGTAAATGTAAAATGTAAATGTAATTGCACATATGTCTGAAGTAGTGAGTTTAATTATGGGGGTGCAGAGCCAGTGTTTGTCCTGTAGGTAAACATCAGTGCCTTACATTTAATGGGAGTGGCTTTTGGCAACCAGTGTTAGCTGATGTAGAGAGGAGTGACATACTGTATGTGATAGGGAAAGCAATGTTTCCAAATGGCAGAACCTAGTGATGTCATGTAGATAGAGAACAGAAGTGGTTTAAGCACTGAGCCCTGATTGAATATTGAATAATGAATATTTCTGTTTGATTCAAGGGCTTAAGTTTCACTGTGCTAATTTTGAGTGCATCGTGTTTAACCTTAGGAAATCCCGATGGTCTGTTTGACTTGTTTTAACACACTGGATAATGATCAGAAACTCCACCTTCTTACAACACCTACCAGGAAGAGACTGACTTCTCCTTTCTGTCATACTGACTTTTCTCTCTTGACAAAAGAAAAAAAGACACATCAATCAATGAAGAATTAAGACTTTCAAGAAGGATATTTGAAAAGTTTGTTTCTGAACAGACAGCAGATATTTTTCTCTTGTTTTTTCTCTCTCTCTCTCTTTACTTCGGAAACCATCATTCAGAAAGTGAAACTAAAGTTTTGCTGGAGCTCAAACAGTGAAAATGGATTCACTAGCTGAATATTATCATAACTGTCCCATGTGCCGTGAAATCTTTAAGGCTCCTGTTCTTTTATCATGTAGTCACACTTTCTGTAAAGAGTGTCTTCAAAAGTTCTGGAGAACCAAGGAAACTCAAGAGTGTCCTCTCTGCAGGAGAAGATCCTCAAGAGATGATCCTCCATGTAACCGTGTGTTAAAAAACTTGTGTGAGTCATTTCTGAAGGAGAGAAATGAGAGGCATTCATCAGGATCTGAGGAGATCTGCAGTTTACACAGTGAGAAACTCAAACTCTTCTGTCTGGAGGACAAACAGCCTGTGTGTTTAGTGTGCAGAGATTCACAACAACACGACAATCATAAATTCAGACCAATAAGTGAACTGGTTTCATCATACAAGGTAAGACAAATGTCTCATCTCATGTATAAAGAACAATAAATGGTCATAAAGAGATATCATCGTATTTGTGTACTTAATATTTTCTTTATATCAGGGGTTCCAATTTCCTGTCCAGTTCTCTTAGCAGTTAGTGTTTTATTTTAATTTTGTTCAATTCTAGGAAGAGCTCAAAACAGCTCTGAAGTCCTTACAAGGGAAACTTAAATACAAAGAAAACATTAAAGGAAAATTTGAAGAAATGGTTCAACACATCATGGTGAGGAAACAGAATAACTTGATTTGTTAAGACATTCAAACATTTAGATAAAAAAAAAATCATGCCAAAATGTTTTCAGTCATTTGACTGGTGGTGTAGGTGATGTTTTTGGTGTTGATTTTTGTTCATTCATATGATTGAAGTGAATGTGGTTTGATTTCAGTCTGAAGCTGAGCACACAGAGCGTCAGATTAAACAGCAGTTTGAGAAGCTTCATCAGTTTCTCAGAGATGAAGAAGAAGCTACAATCACTGCACTGAGGGAGGAAGAGGAGCAGAAGAAGAAGATGATGAAGGAGAAGCTGGAGGAGATCAACAGACACATCTCAGCTCTTTCACACACAATCAAAGACACGGAGGAGATGATGGAAGACAATGACGTCTGCTTTCTAAAGGTCTGATTTCAGATCATGGACTGATTGATTGATTGATTGATTGGGTTCTTGATGATAAATTGTGTGTTTGTTCTGCAGAAGTTTCCAGTCTCAATGGAAAGGTGAGTGATCTGCTGGTGCCTCTGGTCTCTCTGCTTCTGAAGCCAAAGCCAGTTCTGACTCCTGAATGTTCTTCCAGAGTCCAGATCTCATCACAGCCAGATCCACAGATGCCTTCTGGAGCTTTGATTCATGTGCCACGTTACTTGGGCAACCTGCCCTTCAGAGTCTGGAAGAAGATGCAGGACATCGTCCAAAATAGTGAGTCTGGAGATGATCTGTGCTCTTACACATGCACTGGAAATGATGCATGTCTGGATAGGTTTAAAGATGTCTGATATGTTTGATCAATAGGACGAGTGTCATAATTCATAATAATCTGTGCTGGGTTCACTCTTGATCATTATATGAACGTCAGTTTAAAAGCAGCTGTTGATTGTGTCTCATCAGCTCCTGTGATTCTGGATCCAAAAACTGCAAATCCATGGCTCGTCCTGTCTGATGATCTGACCAGTGTGAGATATGGGAACAAACAACCGCTTCCTCATAATCCAGAGAGATTTGACTATTATTCTTGTGTTCTGGGCTCAGAGGGTTTTAACTCAGGAACACACAGCTGGGATGTGGAGGTTAAAGAGAGTCGATGCTGGAGTCTTGGAGTAACTACTGCATCAAACCAAAGGAAGGGATGCGATTTCTTTGACACTGATGTCTGGAGTGTGGAGCATGGTTCTTCTGTAAGGTCTGGATTTCATCTTGAGCAGAACCTTAAGCATGTGAGAGCATATCTGGACTATGACAGAGGAACAGTTTCATTCTCTGATCCTGTAACTAACAGACATCTACACACATATGCAACCACCTTCACTGACACTGTCTTTCCATTCTTCTGTTGTTATAGTTTATTCCCTCTGAGGATTTTACCACTGAATATTCAGTAATCGTTACAACTGTAGGTCTAGATCTTCCTGCTTTCATCAAGTTTTCAATATTTAATCCATATCACATGAGTAAGAGTGCTGTTGATCTGAATATCAGTATGGCTGTGATTGGGCCGCAGCTGATCATGTGACTGATATCTGATCACATGACTGATATCCAGCAGTACAGACACACTCTCAAATCACTGTTAGACAACAGATTAGATCAGATCATTTCAATCTACTTAATGATTTTAACTGTAAAAATAAATAAATAAAAATCTTCATTATAATAACCCTTCCCTCATCAGCTTTACTTACTGAGTTTATCTGACCTGACCGGCATACACTGCCCGATTTTGAGCCGAATTCTGACTCGTGCGACTCTAAAATTTGCGACAATAAATTGTGGTCGCCTCTCGTAAGAGTATCGCACAGTTGAAGCAGAGCTACGAACCGATTGCCCTGAACTCAGTGCTTTTTCCCTCACCGCTCCTGCACAAAAACAGAAATTAAACCATTTCATCTTTAATGTAGCAAGAAAGAAAACGAAAAGAGGAAGATCTTTATAAGTTCAGTCGCTATCAAATAGCTGCAATTTAGTATACTGCTGCTTACCTCCAGTTCACATTGCAGAATGGACAAAACATATGTTAACGGCTTCCAAGCCAACTGCACGTCTATATACTCTGACTCCTCTTTTATTAATTTACTTAATCATTCAATTTATTGATTCACAAAGTTATTTAATATTTACTCAATGTTGTTATTATTATGGGAAATGTGAACCATTGTCATTTTACAATTGGTGATAATGACAAACATAAAGTAGCCTAATTGAAATAGTTACACTAAATATTACATTTTAAATAGGGTAACTTGTAATCTGTAACCTATTACAGAATTGTGAGATGTAAACTTGCAATAGTGAAGGGAAAAAAGTCAGAATTATGAGATAAAATGCCACAATTACCTTTTTTTTTAATTTTTATTCCGTGGTGGAAACGGGCTTCCATACAAAACTGGACAGGATTTGTATGTGATTTTTATGCGATGTGGGGTATTAACATAATAACAACAACAACAACAACAACAGATGTTTACCATGAGAAATGCTAAGCAGTTGTTGCAATTAGCTTATTCTAAAATGCTACAAATAGCATATTTCTGCCTTGTTATATGATCAGAATCCATATTAGATCACAATTGGAAGTTATTAAAAACACTTGATTGTCGTTTACAGTGAGTCTTAAGAAAAAGCGTGTAGCATGATGCTAATTAGATATAATACACCTTTTGCCCATTTGTGATTTATATTTCATGATGTCTGTTGTCAAACAATTTATGTAAGATCTTAAAAAAATATTTTTTTTTTTAAATTTTATTTAAAGACTTTTGATAATAGGTGGTTATAATGTGTCAAAATCAAAGGGATGTGGGTGGGCAAGCCTTGTAATTAAAGAGTGCATAATGCTGCTTACATTTGATAATGATGTTCCTGTCATCTTTTATCACAACAAAATCAAAGTAAAGGAAATATTTCCAGATGCTAAATGTACGTTGTTCTATCTTCCAAGCTAGCATGCAGCAATGCTGACATCATGTACACACATGAGTTGTAAGTGATATTATGAAGATTTAGTTGGAGTTGAGGCAACAAATCAAGAAGTGGATTTGAAACATTTTTTTATTTACTGCAATCAAATAAAGAAAGGCATTATTTTACATTTATCCTTCAAATTAACTTTAAGCATGCATTACTAATATCAAAAGTTCAATAAATGTAAAAAAAAAAAAATTTCGTCACTTGCGGACGTGCGTTCACGACAGTACCATGACGTGAGCGTGTGGCGGCGCTGACCCAGATCCAGCGTAATGACGTGAACGCGCATCCACAAGTGACACAGTAGAGATGAAGCTGTGGAATAAAGTCGTTATTTTAGTTTTCTTTGCGCAAAAAAGTATTATCATAGCTTCGTAACTTTACAGTTGAACCACTGATGTCACACGAACTACTTTGTCGATCATCTTGGTACTTTTCTGGACCTTGAACATGGTAGTTACCTTGCTGTCTATGGGAGGGTCAGACAGCCCTCATATTTCATCAAAAATATCTTAAATTGTATTCCGAAGATGAACGAAGGTCTTACGGGGTTCGAACAACACGAGGGTGAGTAATTAATGACAGAATTTTCATTTTTTGGGTGAACTAACCCTTTAATTCCAGTCTTCACGATCCCCCCGCTCTGCACATTTTGTATGTATCTCTCATACTTCAGACATTTGTTCCATTCGTCTGTAAGTGCCCTGCGAAATGGACATCACAGGATATTCTGCCATGCTTCCAGTTCGAAGGGAGCGTACATGTTCCATTTAAAGGGCATTAAAGTGTATGAGACGTGAATTTAAATAGTATTTATTTACAGTTATATGATGTCACACTTCTCTAGTAAGTTTCGCCTGTGTGTGAAGACGCTGCAGGCAGTGGCATAGCACAATCTGTGAATTAATGCTCTGAAGTGAAGTAAACTTCAAAGGGTTTCCTGCGCTTAGGCAGTAGGGAGCAATGAACACTATGTATTCAACCCTCTAATGTATGGACCCTGTCAATCGGAACACAGTTCTCTCTTCTCACAAGCTGGTTATTTTCAACAGTTATTGACTTCACACATACCAGAAATAAAATTTGTAAGAAAAAATAACTAATTGACTAATCTAAAAATAGTAGATTATTTAATCTATAAAAATACAGAACAAATCTGCTGCTTAAAAATACAAATCTATAAAATACAGCACAATACCAATTCAGTTTTCATAAATGTTGCATAAAATTCTTGAATACACTGTCTAAATGTCCAATTTAGATAATACTGATCAAGTACTTTAAGACATTTTTTCTGCTTGTATCCAGTGTACTCAGTGAGGTGTAGATGAGCGCAGACTTTATCTGATGAATGTAAGAGCAACTAATTTCTGACTGTGATCAGAGGATAATCTAAGAGGAAACGTAGGAGTCTTATTCTGTATCTGCTCCATTAGATGTATTGATCTAAACTCTCAATAGCTTCCTGCTTTGAGTATTTTCTCAATTCATCTGGTATCTTACCCAGTCCCTCAAATGTTTTATTGTAGTATGTTTCCAGATCTTTCTGGAAACTGCACAAAAACCACTTCCAGTAGGGCAGTTCTGAGAAGTCAGGGGTGATGCTCCAGATGTTAAATCGGGGTCCTGCTATTTTCATTTCTTTCCAAATAAACCTTCCGTTTGGTGTATTAAAATTCAGATCATATTCCACAAAATTTGTACAAATATAAGCACAGAGATTGTGTTGAATTGAAACATATGCCATTAATTCCAATCACACTGTGGGAAGCAACACCATGATCTCTGGGATGGTTTTCTCTGGTGTTGGTGCAGATGGCTCCACAGAACGGACAATGAACCCAACAGCACTGACAGAAGGGATCAATCAGAATTTCATCTGGCCATAATTTATAGTCAAGACTTACTGAACATGTCTCTGTGCTGAATCTACTGCTGATGTCAGACATTATAGCAGTAAGTTCTTGTCTTATCACGTCTTCTAGAAGGTTGAAATCATCAGCGTCATCATTTTTCACTCCACTAAGGTCTTTTTCATAGAAGATCAGCTCATCTGAGAGCTGCTATTTGAGTGGGATGCTGCAGTCAGGGAAGGAGTGAAATATGTGCAGTCAAGACCAACAGCTCCCAAAGACAAACATAAAGGGTGACCAACAGTGATGAATTATGAAAAAATTTGCGTCTAATACACCGCCGGCGGCGAGAGCGTCAAAAGCGGCGAGGAGCGGCGCGGCGCGTCTTGGCCGGCGAGGGCGTCAAGGAGAGTTGAAATCAGTTCAACTTTATGGTAATGAACTATGACGCTGTTGGGCGGCAACCAATCGGAATGTAGAATTCCTCCGCTTGAGAGGGTCCCAGAGAACGCAGTCCTGTAAACTTTGGTTCCGACCACACATTAGTTCCTAATCAAAATGGAAGAGAGATTAATTATTGCTGTGGCGGGTTTCCCAGTCATTTATGATGTGTCTCTGTCTGTGTACAGAGACGTGAAAATAAAAAATGTTGCTTGGACCAAGGTGTCTGAGGTTGTTGGTGTTTCTGGTGAGTTGCGAATGCGCATTTACGTTATATATTTTCTGAAAATAAGCGGGAATTGCGTGCTAACTTTCGCGCCAGAGGATGTTTATGAAAAAATTTGCGTTACTTATGATATGCATTCTTAATTGCAATGCAGGAAAGCAGTTTTAATTTGTTAGATGTTTTATGCATAACAAGATATGTTAAGCTTCTATGCACATCTATGTGCATATGGTAGTGTTTCCATGTTAGTGTTTCTAAGCAAAACAGTGCTGAAATAGCCAGGGCTGGCGGCGTGTGATGGGGCACACCTGAACTGAATGGAGCCTCATCACCGCCGCTGTTTAAATGCCGAGCGCGCCTCTCCTCGGGAGACCGGTCTCTTCCCCGTGCATGCACACTGGTGTCCTCGTGGGATCCAGGAAGGGTGCGTAGAGGGACTCCCGTGCCGTCAGAGTCGTGAGCTGCCAGACCCGCGGTCTGGACGAGAACCGCACCCGTTACATGGCCGTCGGGCCAGGATGCCGGGCCGTCTGGTCCCTTCGCACGCCGTGGGCAACGAGAAGGATGCAGCTGCTGGAAGAAGCCGCCGCCCCTCGTGCCCCGGACTGGAGAGGGGAGCGCGTGCGGCCGCCGGACTCCGCCCCTTACCTGGACCCTTCCTTCCTGACCACTGAAACATTTCTTCCATGTGTGATGAGTCGGCTGCCTCCCCCTAATTATCAGCATCACCCCGGCCCTTAATCGCAGCCCTTCGCCAGGCTCCCGACATGAGTGGGTGCGTGAGAGAGGAGGGGTGCTGAAATAGCCAGGGCTGGCGGCGTGTGATGGGGCACACCTGAACCGAATGGAGCCTCATCGCCGCCGCTGTTTAAATGCCGATCGTGCCTCTCCTCGGGAGACCGGTCTCTTCCCCGTGCATGCACGCTGGTGTCCTCGTGGGGCCAGGAGGCCTACATCTTGGATGCCCTGGGGGTAAGCAGATAAACATCAAATTTTCATTCTTGGGTGAACTATCCCTTTAAGCCAGGACTAGGCCTTAGTTAAATTAAGATATGTAACTAATCAGGGTATCTTCCGATCATTCGTTTTTTAATTTAATATTGAAATCTGAAAAAAAATGAAAAAAAGGCACATATTTCGTTTTTCAATTGCTCAAACAAAATGAAAGATCAAGAAACCGGCTTCATTTTTCGTTTTTACGTTCAGGGATAGAAACTGAATA